AGAAATTGCCTTTGGTGGTTGCATAACAGGAAGAGCTTAAACAGCTGGGTGGCTTGAGTTGATAGTGTGTACTTAAAAGTCTACCCCCCTCTTTTTGTACTTTCTTTTCATCTTCCACAGGAGGAAAGCAGCATTCTAAACATTGAGCATCACGCTGGTCTCAGTAAAGTGGCCCATTTCCTCTTGCCATTGTCCTCTCCTTGTCTGTATGTTGTTTGGATAATTCTTAGTCCTGACAGTGGAAGAGCTTTGCTACCCTTTAACAGTTTTAAACTCTCAAAATGCCTGTAAGTGCTTTTTTGGTTTTCAGGGTGACTGATTACAGTCCTCAAGCAGGGGAGAGGTTTGTATTTGCCCCACTGGAGAAACCTGGTCTGTCTTCCCCTTGCTGGAGCCCTAAGCTGCTTGTCCCACATCCAGGATACTTGGCTTTTGGGAGCATGTTGGGAACTTCCCATTGAGGCGACCTTTCTGGGCACCTGTGGCGACACGCTTGGTGTGGGAATGACTAGGATGCCATCTCTAACACTCAGTGATGGAGCGGTTCAAAGCCCTGCACCCAGCTCCTCCTACATTCTGCATCGTGGCTAAGCTGCATGGAGAAGGGCCTGATGGATTTGATGTAAAGAAGTTTGACCACAGTAAAGAGGGAGGGGGATTTAAAAGCTGAGCCCCACAGTACGGAAAAATCTCTAGCTTAGAGGTATTCTAAAGAAAACCGGCGTTTCATAATTCCTTCCAAAAAAATTTTGGGGGGTATTAGTTTAATCAAACAGAATTTTCAAACTTGATGACATCCTTTTAAGTTTTTTCCAAGCAAATTTTAAGAGCCTTGTATATAACACCCCTTAACATGTATGTGCATTATAACTTGTAATTATGCATATGGTACCTTTTTATTCTTTATTCAAATAACATGCAGTTGACAGTAAAGAGATTACATCCATTTGGACTCAGTTCCTTGTGCTGCACCTGAGGGTTGGTGCCTTGAGTCTTAAATAGGGTTGCCAGTGGGGAAACCGCTTTGCCTCTTGCTCAACTTGAGAGACCACTCAGCTAAGTCTATCCTAGGCTTAGGTTGTATATAAAGAAGGGATATTTAAGGCTGTGAAATGTCCAAAGAGGACCCAAGAGAATTTTAGCTGTCCCCTGAGATGCCAAAGGTGTTTCCTAATATAATCCAGAACTTAGCTCTTCTTGTCTGAGGGTGAGGTTGGGGTAGGAGACAGCTGGATTTAGAGCACTGAAGCCCTAGCCTGCATCCTACTAACCTGAGCTCACCCCACACGCCTGCTTCAAAGTAAGGATGCCAAACCTCAGAAGTGGTAAACTTTACATAGACCAAGTCAGAAACCCTGTTCACACTCTTAAAAATGGAATTCTCCAAGTATTTATGGTAGAACAGATGGAATGAAAACCCATTGATGAGGTGTGAATTGGAAGCACAAAGGAATATGTTAGGTCCCTTTGTCTTTTGGATTTCCTGCCTTTGATATGTGTCAGATTCCCATGTTTGTAACATTTTGCCTTTCGTGAATCACCGATTTCACACGGGCAGTTTGCCTAAATGATAGAAGGTGTGCTGTGCCTCTATGGCAGGTCCTCAGATAACGTTTTGTTCAACATCATTTCATTATAACGTTTATGTGAAAAAAATTGATTTCTGACCAGGACCACTGTCTATGTGGAATTTGCATGTTCAATCCAGGTCTTCATGGGTTTTCTCTGGGTACTGAGTTTGCTCTCATGTCCCAAAAACGGGCACGTGGGATGAATTGGCATGTCTCAGTGATCCCTGAGTGTGTGTGTGTGTGTGTTTGTGTGTGTGCACTCCGTGATGGAATGGCATTCTATTCAGGCTTGGTTTCTGCCTTGCACCCTGAGCTGTCAAGATAGGCTCCAGTCACCCATGATCCTGAGCTGGAATAAGTAGGTTGGAAAATGAGTGAATAAATGAATACAAATCATTATAAAATAAAAATTTGTAAAGTATACAATCATACAAATGCATAGCAGTAAACTATGCAGTACAAAAGTATTCAGAGATCCTGCCAAAGTTGTTCTTGCTAGTCTTTGAACTGCATGGTAGTAGGAGGTGCTCCTTAAAATTTTTGCTTTGCAAACATTTATTGCTTGACTTAACACATTACCGCTGTGACCACTATCACTCACCAGTTCACCAGCAGTTGGGTAAATAGTTCTCTTAACTTGTTTTTATTTATCTTACTTAAATGTGTATCTAGCTTACATTTATTTCAGTGTTTAATATTCAGAGTCTTTTGGTCTTTATTTAGAAGTGTGGTGATTTTTTGTGTGACCAGAAATGTGCTATAGGAACTTAACTTGTTTGTATCAATTAGCCTACGGTAAAAATGGTTTCTTTATGCCATTTAAAGTCAATTTCCAAGAACCTATAAACCACGTGAAGTAAGGACTCACTGTTTTAGACTGCAGTGAAGGATGTATTTGCTATGAGCAGTAGCTTTCCCATTAATTCTGTGAAAAACAGACAGCTGTGGTTACAGTTGGAACCTTTAGAAAAGCATGGTATAAAGAGAGGTGCCAATTATACATTTGTTGTGTTAGGTGCCTTTGCCAGGTACCAAATCAAAGCAACCATGGAGAGTTTGGGATAAGATAAGGGCAGGGAACAGTTAGTTGTCAGCTGTTACCACTGTCTGTCCATGGATTTTTATTTTGTCAAGGGTTTGCTTTCTTTCTTATTATGACTATGTTATAATGAGTTTTCTATTACAGTCATCAGTGGATCATCTAAAAGACACATGAAGATTTTTGCTAAAATGGATGTATTTGTTCCTATGTAATTTTTAAGACGAAGCCCTATTTGACTGTATTATTTAATGATGATTTTGAGTTAGTGAAATTCTAGCATAACTAAATAAAATTGTTTAGTTTATTTCTACTGAAACAAGCTTTGATCAAAAACACATAGTTTTTCTTTTTTAACAGCCCTGTTGAGATATAATTTACATACCATACAGCTCAGCCCATTTTGGTCAATTTTTCCAGTCGGTCACCTAAGGGAAAATTGTTTGTGTCAGAAACATGCATCTCTACAGAAAACACTGGATAGTGCCACTGAGAGGTGACTGACACCTTCTGGCACATAAGACCAGGGTTAGTGCTAGCAACGAATAAGCTGTGGTGATTGTAAGAGAATTAGCATAATAATTATGTGGATGTGGGTCCTGGCTCTCCTCTGTCCTGTCGTGCCACTGCGGCTAATGCATTCTTGTTAGGTTCTGATTTTCCCTGTCCTTGCCTCATCTTTATTCCAGACTTCCTTCCCTTTTGGATATGCCAATGAGGGAAAGGCTCTTCAATGTTAGCTGCCTTCCTCTGTGTTTAAAACTGCTCCATGGCATACGCTTGATTTTAGCTTTTCTGCCCTACACAAAACACCAGCCTTGACTTTCAGCTCTGTGCACCAACTGTTGTTTTTGGGAGGATATTCTCATGTTCTTGCCGGGTAGATGGGTGATAGAAGAAGTTATTATTTATTTGCACCGGGATTTACTGGAAATACTTTGTGCCTAGAGTTGAATTAGACAACAGAAGCACAGAGAGAAGTGTAAGAAGGGCAGCCACTAGCTTCAAGAAAATTTCCGGGGCCAGGCACGGTGGCTCACGCCTGTAATCCCAGCACTTGGGGAGGCCGAGGCAGGTGGATCACGAGGTCAGGAGGTCCAGACCATCCTGGCTAACATGGTGAAACTCCGTCTCTATTAAAAATACAAAATTTAGCCAGGCGTGGTGGCAGGCGCCTGTAGTCCCAGCTCCTCGGGAGGCTGAGGCAGGAGAATGGCGTGAACCCGGAAGGCAGAGGTTGCAGTGAGCCGAGATCATGCCTCTGCACTCCAGCCTGGGCGACAAAGCCAGACTCTGTCTCCATAAACAAAAGAAAGAAAATGTCCATCAAACATTCATTGAGTGGTGCATTGGAACAAGTTTTAGTGAATGAAATTTTGTGCTACTACATAGCCTCTAGAGCAATTACACGGAGAGCTTTAAAAAAATACTGATATCTGCATATCCCACCCCAAAGATTCTGATGAAATTGATCTCTGGTGTTCACGGGCATTGGGATGTTGAAAAGCTCCCTAAGTGATTCTCATAAGCAGCCAAAGTGGAGAACTACTGGTCTCATGGGTTTTTACAGTAGCCCGTGCTTTGAAGAACTGTTTGTGTAACTGCAAAAGTTGGAATTTTAGAATCCTGGAATCCTAGATTTCAAATGGATGACAAAATACGTGCAGCCCTTATGGCCTGCCCCTGAGTCATCCCCGGTAGGTGTGGAGACTGGGATCTCCTGTTGAGGCCCATTTTAGGGCTAATTTCCTTATTCTTAAAGGGGAGTGGTATCTTTTTGCCTTTGGAGAAGGTGGAGAGGGAGAAAATTTTTTTTAAGTACGGGTATCTTAATCTAGAAAGTTGACTCAGTGTCCATTTTTAACAGGAAGAACCTTAGCTTGTAAAATCATCTTTGCAACATTGCAAAGTAGATAGTGTACTGAACTGGGAGTCTGATAATTAATTAGGCTTGTACCTTGGGTGAAATGCAGCTAAGTTTTATGTCTCCTGATTTATCAACTTCTGGCTTGGGGAGTGGTTGAGATCCATAGGCTTTGGAACCAGATTGCCTGATTCAAATCCCAGCTCTGCCACTTATGTACTGCATCATCTTGGATGAGTTACTTAACCCTTCTGGGCTTCCGTTGTCCTTCCCGTGTGAGCAGGTGAAATGCATCAGACCGGCGTAAGCGTGTGGTAAGTGATTAGTGTATGGTAGCAATTGTTATCCTGGTTGTTTTGAGCATTCAAGAAGTTCTCCTAAATGTGGAGCAATTTGTGGAAACACAAGGCAACATTCATATGTGACATTTCATTAACCAGGAAGAACACCGCTAGGAGGTTCAGGTGTCAGGTGCGTCTAATGAGGGATAATGACCTCTGCCTTCCCTTCCCCCCGTGCTCTGAAGAGTACAGAACAGGTGGCTGCATTTTGCCGCAGTTTGCATGAGATGAACCCCTCTGACCAGAGCCCATCTCCTCAGGACTCCACGGGGCCTCAGCTGGCGACCATGAGACAACTCTCGGATGCGGATAAGCTGCGTAAGGTGATCTGTGAGCTCCTGGAGACGGAGCGCACCTATGTGAAGGTATGTTTCTTCCCCTCCCCTCCCTCTGCCTCGTAAAGGAGAAGTCTGTTTTTGCTGGTTTTCACTAACAGCTGAGTCAAACCGTGGTCATGAAGAGTGTCTTGGGTTCTCCTGGAATTTTGCCTTTACTCTGAATGTTAAAAGCTTGTTTTGAGTTGTTGTGTTTTTTTAAGATAGTCTCACTCTGTTGGCCAGGCTGGAGTACAGTGGTGTGATCATAGCTCATTGCAGCCTTGACCTCCTGGGCTCAAGTGATCCTCCCCGCTCAGCCTCCTGAGGAGCTGAGACCACAGGTGCACACCACCATGCCCAGTCCCGTTTTCTATTTTTTGTAGACAGGGAGTTTCACCATGTTGCCCACACTGGTTTCGAACTCATGGGCTCAAGTGATCCTCCCACCTTGGCTTCCCAAAGTGCTGGGATTATAGACGTGAGAGCTACCACGCCCAGCCTCCTTGTAATTTTTTTTTTTTTTTTTAAAGACGGAGTCTCGCTCTGTCGCCCAGGCTGGAGTGCAGTGGCGGGATCTGGGCTCATTGCAAGCTCCGCCTCCCAGGTTCATGCCATTCTCCTGCCTCAGGCTCCTGAGTAGCTGGGATTACAGGCGCCCGCCACCACGCCTGGTTAATTTTTTGTATTTTTAGTAGAAACGGTGTTTCACCGTGTTAGCCAGGATGGTCTTGATCTCCTGACCTCGCGATCCGCCCGCCTCGGCCTCCTAAAGTGCTGGGATTACAGGCGTGAGCAGCCCGGCTGCCTCCTTGTGATTTTTAAGGAAGCCTAGCAATTCTTAGAGCAGTTCATGTGTGTGTGTGTGTGTGTGTGTGTGTGTGTGTGTGTGTGTCCTAATAAGAAAGCTAAATTTAATTTTTAAAAAAGTTGAGGGTATGATCTTCCTAATCTAATTAGAGTCTAGCCAGAAGAGTGTCAGGTCCGTTGTCTTTGTGTTATCACTTGTTTTGACACCTGGTCACATTCCCCATGAGAAAGCAGGGTGATCTGTTTAAGTATCTGTGTTTTAGTCTTTAAATCAGAGGTTAGCAAACGACGGCCCTCGGGTCAAATCCAGCCCGCTGCCTGTTTTCGCAAATAAAGTTTGATGAGAACACAGCCACACTCATTCCTTGACGTATTATTGTGTATGCCTGCTTTGGTGCTACAGCTGAGGAAGTTGCAACGGAGACCGTATTGTAGTCCTCGAAGCCTAAAATATTGACAGAAACTCCTGCTTGAAATGGACCTTACTGACCTGAAGTCTCTAATGTTAGCCTTCAGGACATGATCTGTTTGTTCTCTTCTAGATCCTTTTATAGACATTAACATATGCTAATGAGGTCTCTTTTCAATTCTTAGGATTTAAACTGTCTCATGGAGAGATACCTAAAGCCTCTTCAAAAAGAAACTTTTCTCACCCAAGATGAGGTATTGTGGAAATGGTTTCAACTTTGTGAATATCATACCGTGGTTTGACTTGTTGGTAAAAAGGGAAAATGGGGACACGTGTAACACTGAAAACATTTTAAATTTATGTAATTGTAGTAAGGAGGTGAAATTATTGCCTGCTAAGCTTTGGCGTGCTCGTGGAGAGTGAAAAACCGCCCCGCTCTCTAGTGGGATTATTCTCTTAATTGATAAAAATTGATGGGAAAACCTTGTAATCAGATTATTTTAAATAAAGTTTAGGAAGACTAATGAGATATGAGGTGGATTAAATTCTGTTTCATTTCTAGCTTGACGTGCTTTTTGGAAATTTAACGGAAATGGTGGAGTTTCAAGTAGAATTCCTTAAAACTCTAGAAGATGGAGTGAGACTGGTACCTGATTTGGAAAAGCTTGAGAAGGTCGACCAATTTAAGGTAAGTGTAGTGCAAAGCTGCCTCTGGCGTCGGGGCCATAGTGTGGCGCAAGTTGAATCCCCTGATCGTGTTGACGTCTTCCTTGGAGGGCCACAGTGGCGTCCGTTCCTTAAGGGTGTCTGAGAGGAGAACAGTGTGTCTTGCTGGTCTGGCTAAGGGAAGACCAAGGCCATCAATTTGCATTAAACTGGTGCAGCTGCTGCTTTTACGCGCGAAGTACCAACCTTCACCTTTTGTTTGGTTTATGCGGAGGCCTTTAGTGCTTTAGCTATTAGTGAATTAGAATAAGCATTCCTGGCCGGACACAGTGGGTCACGCCTGTAATCCTGGCACTTTGGGAGGCCAAGGCGGGCGAATCACCCGAGGTCAGGAGTTCGAGACCAGCCTGGCCAACATGGCAAAATCTCATCTCTACTAAAAGTACAAAAATTAGCTGGGCATGGTGGCGGGCGGCTGTAATCCCAGCTACTCAGGAGGCTGAGGCAGGAGAATCTCTTGAACCCGGGATGCAGAGGTTGCAGTGAGCCGAGATTGCAGCACTACAGTCTAGTCTGGGGGACAAGAACAAGACTCTGTCTTTTTTTTAAAAAAAAAAAAAAAAAGGCACTTCTGGTCACCCAGTAGACACATTAATTTACCTTGTTCTGGGAAACTTTGCTTAATGGAAATGCTTATAATTATCCAGGAGGAAGACAATCTTCCAGCACACAGTGTCCTTGCAGCCTAATGAGGATTTATGACTAGTGCCTTAGCAAGGCTGCTTATTTCCTCTCCCCTGCTTGGCTTCCTTTTATTGCAGATTTCCTGTGTTGCATCTCCAATTAACAAAGCACACTGCTTCATGTGTTGGCTTACGTGTCACCCTCATGTGCTTTAACAAACAGATTAAGGTATAATTGTGCAGTAGAATATGCCGCATATGTTTAGTGTGGAATTTGATGAATTCACACACACGCCCCCCTATGAAACCATCGCCACAATCAGGACAATGCACATAATCATTACTCCTAAAAGTCTTGTCCTGCCGTTTTGTGGTTTTTCTCTCCTGCTTCTTACTGCCCTCCCACTCTACCCCGGCTCCCTGTTATTATAAATAACGTTTGCATTCTGGAATTTTATATTGGTGGAATCCCATACCAAGTACCCGTTTTTTGGGGGGGGGGGCTCCTTCCACTCAGCGTAGTTTTACTGAGATCCGTCCATATTGCTGTGTGTATCAAGAGCTCATTCCTTTTCATTGCTGCATTGTCTTCCATTGAATGGATAGACCACACTTTGTTATCCACTCACCTTTCTTGGGCATTTGGGTTGTTTCCAGTTTTTGGTAATTACAAATAAAGCTGCTGTGAACATTGGTGTACAAGTTTTAGTATGGATATGTGCTCTCATTTCTCTTAAGTACCCAGGAAGGGAATGGGTGGGTCATATGGTAAGGGTATGTGTAACTTTTTAAGAAACTGCTAAACTACAGAGTGGTTATACCATTGCAGCTCCCTCCATCTGTTCCTCCTCATTGTTCTGCTGAGGTCCCGGTCCCTTTTTTAGCCATTCTAACAGGTGTGTGGTAGCACCTCATTATGGTTCTAATTTTAATTTCCCTAATGACTTACGATGATGAGCATCTTCTTTTATGTGCTTGTTTTTTGCCCTCGGTGTATCCACCTTGGTGAAGTGTTTGTTCAAATAATTTGCTTATTTTACTGGGTTGTTTACTTATACTGAGTTTTGAGAGTTCTTTGTATATCCTGAATATAAGTCCTTTATCAGATACATGATTTGTAAATTTTGTTTCTGTGTTTGAGGCCCGTCTTTTCATTCTCTTGACAGTGCCCTTCACAGAGCAGAAGTTTTTAATTTTGATGAAGTACAGTTTTTTACATTTTCCCTTTTTGAATCACACCTTTGGTGTCTTATCTATGAAATCTTTGCCTAAACCAGGATCATAAAGATTTTTTCCTGTGTTTTCTCTTAGAAGTTTTGTAGTTTTCTCTTAGAAGTTTCATAGTTTTACATTTAGACTTCTGATCTATTTGAACTTAAATTTGTTATGGTTTAACATAGGAATCAAAGTTAACTTGTGTGTGTATGAATATCCAATTTTTCTCATCTTGTTTGTTGCAGTGACTATCGTTTGATCCTTTTTCCACTCAATATCTTTTGCATTTGTGTTAAGAATCAGTTGTTCATGTATGTATAGGCCCCCATACTCTGCCTGTCTTCTAATACTTGCAGAAATCTAGCTGTGTAATGTTAGGGTACAAGTTTTGGAGCTGAGGTAAAGACTGCCTCACCTTGATACTCTACCTCAATATATGTTTGTGTGTGTGTGTGTGTTATTTCTTTACATTGCCTCTGTGCAACAGGAGCTACTAAGAATTACATACAAACACACATAAGTATGTGAATATATATGTATATATTATAGGTGTTCATTTTTGTTTGGATATAATTTCAGACTTACAGAAAAGTTACAAGAATAGTGCAAAGAATTCCTGAATACCCTTCATCTAGATTCCCCAAATGGTAACATTGGGCTACATTTGCTTTATTCTTTCTTCCCCTCCCTGTCTCCTGTGCGCATGTGTATCTATATGTGCATGTGTGTACATTATGCATGTATGGTGTGTCTATGTGTACATATAAAGTGTTTTCTTCCTAAACCATTTAAGAGAAAGTTGTAGGCACAATATATCTTTCACCCTGAATACTCCATATAGTTCATTTTTGTATTCAAAAATTGCTTCTTGGTGGTTAATACTCTTCATTTGAAATACAGTTAGGTTCCTTGTAGTGATATGTTTTCTAAATTAGTAAATTAATAATTTGCACAGTAGAACATGTGATGTGGCCCGGTAGTTAGATAAACAAAAAAGCTGCTTAATAAAAATGGATGTATTCTGGAGGCCAGGGTTGGTTAAAAAATGGATATAGATGTACTTTAAAATATTGTTTTAACCTAACGTAGCTAATATTCATTAGTAAGTCTTTTGCTGTGGGACTGGTTCTTTGAGTTTGGGTCCAGTTCATCACTAAAAGGATTCACAAGAAGGAGACTTTGGGTACCAGAACTTTGATATGAACTTGAGTGTACTGAGATCAGTGTTATTCTAGGGAGGGGCAGCTTCTCAAATCTGAAAATCTGCAATCTGAACTGCTGTATCAGCAACTTTTTGAGTACCCACATGATGCTCAAAGGAAATGGCCATTGGAGCATTCTGGATTTTCAATTTTTGATGCTCAACCAGTAAATATAATGCAGATATTCCCAAATCTGAAAAAATATGAAATCTGAAATACTTCTGGTCCCAAGCATTTTGGATCAAGGATACCAAACCTGTACTTCTATACTCAACAGTCACTCTTCTCAATTCCACGTAAGCGGGACCCTCTTCATAGACCTTCACTTGGCTGCTTACAGCACAATCTGATTGTCTCCATTCCATCTGTAAGGCGAGATGGCTGATGGGCACTGAGCGTGCCTACCTGCGGGATTCTCTCCGGGCTCTCTGAGTTGGTTTCCACACAGTCGCTGTTTGCTCCCAAACCTACTGCTGTCGATTTCCACAATTGCTGCCCTTTTTAAAATTATCATTGTTGGCCGGGCGCGGTGGCTCACACCTGTAATCCCAGCACTTTGGGAGGCGGAGGCGGGCGGATCACGAGGTCAGGAGATCCAGACCATCCTGGCTAACACAGTGAAACTCCGTCTCTACTAAAAAATGCAAAAAATTAGCCGGGCTTGGTGGCGGGGGCCTGTAGTCCCAGCTACTCGGGAGGCTGAGGCAGGAGAATGGCGTAAACCCGGGAGGCGGAGCTTGCAGTGAGCTGAGATCCGGCCACTGCACTCCAGCCTGGGCGACAGAGCGAGACTCCATCTCAAAAAAAAAAAACTAAAAATAAAATTCCTCATTGTATATTTGACAAAAAACAAAAAAGAAAAACTTGTTAAAATCTTCAAACTGAGTTGCATAGAGCATTAGTCTCAGGTAGTATCAGAAGGAAATAATTAGTTCTGATGTTAAATAAGTTTTGATAAAATTTTCATTTGGAAATTTGCAATGTACATCAGCCTGTGAGAAGCGTTCTTAAGTCCTGCAGAACAGAAACATTGGGGAAGTGCAGTCTTTGTATATAAACCCCTCATACTTGTGTGCACTGTGTTCCCTGATAATCATAAGGCAGGAGGAATAAGAGAATACGTTAATGTTTTATCTGTAGTTACGGTAGGGTAAATAGACACTTAGTAAATATTAAGTTAAACAAATGAATGGCTTTAGGATGGCTAAAGGGAGGGGTTACATTTAGCATACTTTCTTCCACAACTGTTTTTTTACTTAATTCTTGAGTATGACTCTGTATTAGTTAATTTTCACATTGCTATGAAGAAATACCTGAGACTGAGTAATTTGTAAAGAAAAAGAGGTTTAATGGATTCACAGTTCCACATGGCTGGGGAGGCCTCAGGAGGAGCAAAGTCACGTCTTACATGGTGGCAGGCAAGAGAGCGTGTGCAAGGGAACTGCCCTTTATAAAAACCATCAGATCTCATGGGACTTATTCGCTATCATGGGAACAGCACAGGAAAAACCTGCCTCCATTATTCAGTTACTTCCCACAACATATGGGGACTATAGGAGCTACACTTCAAGGTGAGATTTGGTTGAGGACACAGCCAAACCATATCAGGCTCCAAGGATAACTGTCCCTCTCAAAGTCCGACGGCAGTACCCAGGGTACTCCTGCTGACACCCTCCACGCTAGGGTAGAGATTTGGGGAGGACTTGGAAAGTAAAGGAGAAAAAGGAGAACATACAAGAAGAGAAATGAGGCCTCTAATGACCAATTACATGTGGTTTAAAATAAACCTTTTTTTTTTTTTTGTCATGGACAGACTATCAGTGTTCATTAGATAAATTGCATTTTGGGGAACCTACTTTGTTACTCAAATTCAAAACCTTATTTCTTTGCTTGAAGTCTGCCTTTTAATTCTAAGCCTCTATAAACTAAATAAGGCCTCTCTCTGAACAAGACTCTTTCAGTGTGAAACTCGCAGAAGATGTTTTTCTGAGGCTATATATATATATATAAATATTATGTGGGATGCAAAGTATCCTGTCAGGCATAGTAAAATCTTAATGAGAAGGCCTCTACCCAGTTGTGAACTACTGGGACAGGGCAGACAGGCTGGGGAGATGATACTGATTTCCATAGTTGAGCGTGTTTCTTCTTTTAATATTGCTTATGTTCTTAGCCGCTAGAGGAGAGGGTGGTTTTGGAAGGCATGAAGATAGCGATCAGAGGAACGTGTTCTACTTCAGGAGCAGGGGGTATGAGCATTTCCTGCCTATATTTAGTTTGCCAGCAGGAGCTAATGAGAGAATTGAGATTTCTGATTTTTCCAGAATATATACGTTCTCATCAACATTCAAACAGCCTAGATAGGTTATTAAAAGACACAGACCTGGAAAACCAGGGACATCTCCCTTGTAAATACTAAGAAGACAAAGTCCAACACCTTGTACACAAACCTGTACGTGCACATACTTTGCAATGGGCAATTTTAGGGCCTTTGATAACAAAGAAAGGCTCTGACAGGCACGGAAGGTGTTGATTGGTGGGGTGAGCCAGGCAGATGTGAGCTCCCTGCCATAACCTGCTGGTATTTCTAGTGGAGGAAGGAAACAAACCAACTCTGCCTTTTCTCATCAAATCCAGAAAGTGCTGTTCTCTCTGGGGGGATCGTTCCTGTATTATGCTGACCGCTTCAAGCTCTACAGTGCCTTCTGCGCCAGCCACACAAAAGTTCCCAAGGTCCTGGTGAAAGGTAAGACCTCTGAGGATATGGAGGTGGGGATGTGCTGCTTCTCAGTTGTGTGGCTGACAGTGGTTGGGGGCTTTTGGACAGAAATCTAGGAGTCATTGATTGCCAGATAGATGTTCCAGCAAGCCACTGATAGGGGTGCTGAACAATGCAATGTGTTCTTTTTTTCTTTTTTTTTTTCTTCTTTTTGAGACAGAGTCTCACTGTTGCCCAGGCTGGAGTGCAGTGGCACGATCTCGGCTCACTGCAGCCTCCACCTCCCAGGTTCAAATGATTCTCCTGCCTCAGCCTCCCGCATTGCTGGGATTACAGGCATGCACCACCACACCTGGCTAATTTTTGTATTTTTAGCAGAGATGGGGTTTCGCCATGTTGGCCAGACTGGTCTTGAACACTTGACCTCGGGTAATCCACCCGCCTTGGCTTCCCAAAGTGCTGGGATTACAGGTGTGAGCCACTGCTCCATGCCTTTTTTTTTTTTGAGACAGTGTTGCTCTCTCACTCAGGCTGGAGTGTAGTGGCTTTAGCGGAGTCTTGCTGTGCGCCCAGGCTGGAGGTGGGCCGGTTGGGCGGTCTAGCTCACGAAGCTCCGTCCTCCCGGGTTCCGCCATTTCCTGCTCAGCTCCTGAGGAAGGCTGGAACAGCCGGCACCGTCGCCAGGCTAATTTTTGTATTTTTTAGAGGACGGGATCACGGTAGCAGGGATGTTCGATTCTACCTGGTGTCCGGCCCGTTCGTC